ACTATCCTTATACCTTTACAGTTGACCGCCAACGTCACGTGACTGTATTGCAGCTGCTTTGGCAGTCTACTGTCGTCCATGCTATGTACTGGCAGGGGAAGACTTGCGCAAGGTTGCTTCTCTGTTCACCACGAGGGCTAGCCAGCGGCGGCAGTTGCAAGCGAGAGGAGGCAAGCAGTCCCTGCACCTTATCACTAACATAATGCTGCCAAACTAGACGCATTAACCACCCTGTGTGCCTACACGCATTAACCACCCTGTGTGCCTAGACGCATTAACCATCCTGTGTGCACACACTTACAGAATCAGTGACCAATGTAGTTTTCGTGTTCTTGTTCCTGTACTGCTATACTTCGATACATTACTAGTAAAAAATATTATTAAACTTTTACTACAACACTATTATTATATGCTCACTACAACACCAGTACCATACGTTCACTACAACACCAGTACCATAAGTTTACTACAACACCAGGACCATATGTTTACTACAACACCAGTACCATATGTTTACTACAACACCAGTGCCATATGTTTACTACAACACCAGTACCATATGTTTACTACAACACAAGGACCATATGTTTACAGCAACACCAGTACCATACGTTTACCACAACACCACTACCATATGTTTACTACAACACCAGGACCATATGTTTACCACAACACCAGTACCATATGTTTACTACAACACCAGTACCATATGTTTACTACAACACGAGTACCATATGCTCACTACAACACCAGTACAACATGTTTACTACAACACCAGTACCATATGCTCACTACAACACCAGTACCATATGCTCACTACAACACCAGGACCATATGTTTACTACAACACTAGTACCATATGCTTACTACAACACCAGTAACATATGTTCACGACAAACCAGTACTATATGTTTGCTACAAAACCAGAACCATATGTTTACAGCAACACCAGTACCATACGTTTACCACAACACCAGTACCATATGTTTACTACAACACCAGTACCATATGTTCACTACAACACGAGTACTATATGTTTGCTACAACACCAGTACCATATGTTCACTACAACACCAGTACCAAATGTTTACTACAACACCAGTACCATATGTTTGCTACAACACTAGGTACCATATGTTTACTACAACACCAGTACCATATGTTTACTACAACACCAGTACCATATGTTCACTACAACATCAGTACCATATGTTTACTACAACACCAGTACCATATGCTCACTACAACACCAGTACCATATGCTCACTACAACACCAGTACCATATGTTTACTACAAGACCAGTACCATATGTTTACTACAACACCAGTACCATATGTTTAATTACATCACCAGTACCATATGATTACTACAACACCAGTACCATATGATTACTACAACACCAGTATATGTTTACTACAACACCAGTACCATATATTTTCACTTACCAGTACCATATGTTTCCTACAGCAGCAATTACCATATGTTTACTGCAACACCAGTACCATATGTTTACTACAACACCAGTACCATATGTTCACTACAACACCAGTACCATATGTTCCCTACAGCAACAGTACCATATGTTTACTGCAACACCAGTACCATATGTTTACTACAACACCAGTACCATATGTTTACTACAACACCAGTACCATATGTTTACTACAACAACAGTACCATATGTTTACTACAACACCAGTACTCTATGTTTACTACAACACGAGTACCATATGCTTACTACAAAACCAGTACCATATGTTCACTACAATACGAGTACCATATGTTTACTACAACACCAGTACCATATGTTCACTACAACACGAGTACCATATGTTTACTACAACACCAGTACCATATGTTTACTACAACACCAGTACCATATGTTCACTACAACACCAGGACCATATGTTTACTACAACACCAGTACCATATATTCACTACAACAGCAGTACCGTATGTTTACTACAACACCAGTACCATATGTTTACTACAACACCAGTACCATATGTTCACTACAACACCAGTACTATATGTTTACTTCAACACCAGTACCATATGTTCCCTACAGCGCTTAAATTACTTGTTCATATTACTGGTAGACTGTAGCTGAGCTAACTAGATTCTTGTCTAAGTTAACACCATTTGGGGTTATGTGTAGCGTGACCCAGAGAAAGACAAATAGGTCTGATTAACGGAATGGCCAAAATTAATAGCAAAAATATACTGGTGGCAATTGTAGCTCTCACTACCTACATGGTAGTTTACCAATACAGGTCTACAGTTGAAAATGAATTTAAAAATTTGAAAGAACGGCTAGACGAAATTAAAATTCAACAACAAAAATAAAGAGTGAGCCTCTACTACAGAATTTTAAGGGGACTAAAACTTATTAGCCCTGGGATAGGTGAGCTCCCAACCCTATAAAAGCCCAAACCAGGTTTATGCGACCACGTGCCTCTTTTGGGCGACATTTTACTTGCTAGAAAAATCAAAATTGAGATGAAGAGGGTGACGGAGGCGCTGAAGAAGGCCTCCGAGAGCGACGTCCCACGTTTTACCTCTGGGTCATTTATCATAGGAACAGTACTGTTAGTGTTTATTGTTTGTTGTACTTGTGTGTATTTATGTTGTAAAATCCGTCGTCGCTTTAGAGAGGACGACCACAACCCAGGCTAGGCTGAGTCGACCCTAGGGGAATTAGAGTCACTAGCCACAGCAGAACCAGAGTCACCAACCGATGCAGAATCGGAGTCACCAGCCGAAGCGGAGCCGGAATCACCAGTCACAGCGGAAACGGAGTCACCAGCTGTAACAGAACCAGAGTCACCAGCCGCAGCAGAACCAGAGTCACCAACCGATGCAGAACCAGAATCACCAACCGATGCAGAACCGGAGTCACCAGCCGAAGCGGAGCCGCAGTCACCAGCCGTAGCGGAACCGGAGTCACCAGCCGAAGCGGAACCAGGGTCACAAGCCGCAGCGGAACCAGAGTCACCAAACGCAGCGGAACCGGAGTCACCAGCTGCAGCGGAACCAGATTCACCAGCCGAAGCGGAACCGAAATCACCAGCCGCAGCGGAACTGGAATCACCAACCACAGTGGAACCGGAATCACCAGCCGTAGCGAAACAGCAGTCCAGCCAAAATCAAATCACGAGGAGCGTTAAAATACCCAAAAAATTTCACGGAGCATTCATAGGTCACAAGGGCGCCCATATTAAACAAATAGGCCAAAAATACGGAGTGTTGCTGGGACTCAACACCAATAAAAACCATGTCAGTATCACCAGTACAGACATATAGCGGGTAGAGGAGGCCAAACGCTACATTGAAGATTTAATCCTCCAATGGGTATTCGGTAACCCCCCGATGTGATAGAATGGTAAATATTTTTCTCTTCTATATATAAATATAGATATATATGCAGTATTTCGTTCTATCTATTTATCTATCTACACATCCCACCCCCCCCCACACACACACATGTAACCAGTATAATTTACATACTGTTTAATGTAGAGTAAGTAATTAATAACTTATAACTATGGATGTATAATTATGAACATTAATTATTCAATGACCTGAAGAGGGTAAAGGTTGCTCAGGGGACTAAAACATCCTGCAGATGTTTAGTCTTATCCAGTTGCCGAAGTATGATGCAACTCTCTCTCCAGGTAGTAGGTAATTCTTGAAATACTTAATAGATTGCTCATATGTGGTAATTGGATACTTTGCTTCACACTTGCATTGGTTCAAGTATGTTAGATAGTTAGATAAGTAATATGTAGATAATGGCACCGCCAGTTAGGACTCATTCATGGGTCATTGGAATCATTTACCAGCCGGTTATTTATATACGTAATGTAAAAACCGCTCAATGTTGTTCGACTTGACATATGTTTAATTACATCACCAGTAACATAAGTTTACTACAACACCAGTACCATATGTTTACTACAACACCAGAACCATATCTTTACTACAACACGAGTACCATATATTTACTACAACATAAGTACCATATGTTCACTACAACACAAGTGCCATATGTTCACTACAACACCAGTACCATATGTTCACTACAACACCAGTACCATATGTTTACTACAACACCAGTACCATATGTTTACTACAACACCAGAACCATATCTTTACTACAACACGAGTACCATATATTTACTACAACATAAGTACCATATGTTCACTACAACACAAGTGCCATATGTTCACTACAACACCAGTACCATATGTTCACTACAACACCAGTACCATATGTTTACTACAACACCAGTACCATATGTTCACTATAACACAAGTGCCATATGTTCACTACATCACCAGTACCATATGTTTACTACAACACCAGTACCATATGTTTACTGCAACACCAATGCCATATGTTTTACTACAACACCAATTACCATATGTTTATTACAACACCAGTACTAGCCATGTTTACTACAGCACAGTACCATATGATCACTACAACACAAGTGCCATATATTTCACTACATCACAATGCCATATGTTTGCTACCCAACACCAGTACCATATGTTTACTGCAACACCAGTACCATATGTTTTACTGCAACACCAAAGTACCATATGTTCACTACAACCCCTGTTTATATGTTCACTACAACTTCCTGATACCATATGTTCACTACAACACCAGTACCATATGTTTACTACAACACCAGTACCATATGTTCACTACAACACCAGTACCATATGTTTACTGCAACACCAGTACCATATGTTTACGACAACACCAGTACCATATGTTTATTACAACACCAGTACCATATGTTTACTACAACACCAGTACCATATGTTCACTACAACACCAGTACTATATGTTTACTTCAACACCAGTACCATATGTTCCCTACAGCGCTTAAATTACTAGTTCATATTACTGGTAGACTGTATCTGAGCTAACTAGATTCTTGTCTAAGTTAACACCATTTGGGGTTATGTGTAGCGTGACCCAGAGAAAGACAAATAGGTCTGATAAACGGAATGGCCAAAATTAATAGCAAAAATATACTGGTGGCAATTGTAGCTCTCACTACCTACATGGTAGTTTACCAGTACAGGTCTACAGTTGAAAATGAATTTAAAAATTTGAAAGAACGGCTAGACGAAATTAAAATTCAACAACAAAAATAAAGAGTGAGCCTCTACTACAGAATTTTAAGGGGACTAAAACTTATTAGCCCTGGGATAGGTGAGCTCCCAACCCTATAAAAGCCCAAACCAGGTTTATGCGACCACGTGCCTCTTTTGGGCGACATTTTACTTGCTAGAAAAATCAAAATTGAGATGAAGAGGGTGACGGAGGCGCTGAAGAAGGCCTCCGAGAGCGACGTCCCACGTTTTACCTCTGGGTCATTTATCATAGGAACGGTACTGTTAGTGTTTATTGTTTGTTGTACTTGTGTGTATTTATGTTGTAAAATCCGTCGTCGCTTTAGAGAGGACGACCACAACCCAGGCTAGGCTGAGTCGACCCTAGGGGAATTAGAGTCACTAGCCACAGCAGAACCAGAGTCACCAACCGATGCAGAATCGGAGTCACCAGCCGAAGCGGAGCCGGAATCACCAGTCACAGCGGAAACGGAGTCACCAGCTGCAACAGAACCAGAGTCACCAACCGCAGCAGAACCAGAGTCACCAACCGATGCAGAACCAGAATCACCAACCGATGCAGAACCGGAGTCACCAGCCGAAGCGGAGCCGCAGTCACAAGCCGTAGCGGAACTGTAGTCACCAGCCGAAGCGGAACCAGGGTCACAAGCCGCAGCGGAACCAGAGTCACCAGCCGAAGCGGAACCGAAATCACCAGCCGCAGCGGAACTGGAATCACCAACCACAGTGGAACCGGAATCACCAGCCGTAGCGAAACAGCAGTCCAGCCAAAATCAAATCACGAGGAGCGTTAAAATACCCAAAAAATTTCACGGCACATTCATTGGTCACAAGGGCGCCCATATTAAACAAATAGGCCAAAAATACGGAGTGTTGCTGAAACTCAACACCTATAAAAATAATATCAGTATCACCAGTACAGACATATAGCGGGTAGAGGAGGCCAAACGCTACATTGAAGACTTAATCCTCCAATGGTCACTCGCTTACTCCCTAGCCACAGCGGAACCGGAGTCACCAGCCGCAGCGGAACCTGGGTCACCAGCCACAGCGGAACGGGAATCACCAGCCGTCGCGAAACAGCAGTCCAGCCAAAATCAAATTACGAAGAGCGTTAAAATACCCAAAAAATTTCACGGAGCATTCATAGGTCACAAGGGCGCCCATATTAAACAAATAGGCCAAAAATACGGAGTGTTGCTGGGACTCAACACCAATAAAAACCATGTCAGTATCACCAGTACAGACATATAGCGGGTAGAGGAGGCCAAACGCTACATTGAAGATTTAATCCTCCAATGGTTATTCGGTAACCCCCCGATGTGATAGAATGGTTAATATTTTTCTCTTTTATATATAAATATAGATATATATGTAGTATTTCGTTCTATCTATTTATCTATCTACACATCCCACACACACACATGTAACCAGTATAATTTACATACTGTTTAATGTAGAGTAAGTAATTAATAACTTATAACTATGGATGTATAATTATGAACATTAATTATTCAATGACCTGAAGAGGGTAAAGGTTGCTCAGGGGACTAAAACATCCTGCAGATGTTTAGTCTTATCCAGTTGCCGAAGTATGATGCAACTCTCTCTCCAGGTAGTAGGTAATTCTTGAAATACTTAATAGATTGCTCTTATGTGGTAATTGGATACTTTGCTTCACACTTGCAATGGTTCAAGTATGTTAGATAGTTAGATAAGTAATATGTAGATAATGGCACCGCCAGTTAGGACTGATTCATGGGTCATTGGAATCATTTACCAGCCGGTTATTTATGCACGTAATGTAAAAACCGCTCAATGTTGTTCGACTTGACATATGTTTAATTACATCACCAGTAACATAAGTTTACTACAACACCAGTACCATATGTTTACTACAACACCAGTACCATATGTTTACTACAACACCAGTACCATATGTTTACTACAACACCAGAACCATATCTTTACTACAACATGAGTACCATATATTTACTACAACATAAGTACCATATGTTCACTACAACACAAGTGCCATATGTTCACTACAACACCAGTACCATATGTTCACTACAACACCAGTACCATATGTTTACTACAACACCAGTACCATATGTTCACTACAACACAACTGCCATATGTTCACTACATCACCAGTACCATATGTTTACTACAACACCAGTACCATATGTTTACTGCAACACCAGTACCATATGTTTACTACAACACCAGTACCATATGTTTATTACAACACCAATGCCATATGTTTACTACAACACCAGGCTGCCATAGTCACTACAACACAAGTGCCATATATTTCACTCTAGCACAAGTGCCATATGTTCACTACAACACCAGTACCATATATTTCACTACAACACCAGTACAATATCATTTACTACAACACCAATTACCATATGTTTTACTACAACATAGAACCATATCTTTACTACAACACGAGTACCATATATTTACTACAACACAAGTACCATATGTTCACTACAACACAAGTACCATATGTTCACTACAACACCAGTACCATATGTTCACTACAACACCAGTACCATATGTTTACTACAACACCAGTACCATATGTTCACTACAACACAACTGCCATATGTTCACTACATCACCAGTACCATATGTTTACTACAACACCAGTACCATATGTTTACTGCAACACCAGTACCATATGGTTTTGCCTACAACACCAGTACCATATGTTTTATTGCAACACCAGTACCATAATATTTACTACAACACCAGTACACCATATGATCACTACAACACAAGTATATATATTCCTACATCACACCAGTACCATATGTTTACAACGCAGGCTGCATGTTTACTGCAACCACCAGTACCATATGTTTACTACAACTATAAGTACCATATGTTCACTACAACTTCACAAGTGCCATATGTTCACTACAACACCAGTACCATATATTCACTACAACACCAGTACCATATGTTCACTACAATACGAGTACCATATGTTTACTACAACACCAGTACCATATGTTTACTACAACACCAGTACCATATGTTCACTACAACACCAGGACCATATGTTTACTACAACACCAGTACCATATATTCACTACAACAGCAGTACCGTATGTTTACTACAACACCAGTACCATATGTTCACTACAACACCAGTACTATATGTTTACTTCAACACCAGTACCATATGTTCCCTACAGCGCTTAAATTACTAGTTCATATTACTGGTAGACTGTATCTGAGCTAACTAGATTCTTGTCTAAGTTAACACCATTTGGGGTTATGTGTAGCGTGACCCAGAGAAAGACAAATAGGTCTGATAAACGGAATGGCCAAAATTAATAGCAAAAATATACTGGTGGCAATTGTAGCTCTCACTACCTACATGGTAGTTTACCAATACAGGTCTACAGTTGAAAATGAATTTAAAAATTTGAAAGAACGGCTAGACGAAATTAAAATTCAACAAAAATACAGAGTGAGCCTCTACTACAGAATTTTAAGGGGACTAAAACTTATTAGCCCTGGGATAGGTGAGCTCCCAACCCTATAAAAGCCCAAACCAGGTTTATGCGACCACGTGCCTCTTTTGGGCGACATTTTACTTGCTAGAAAAATCAAAATTGAGATGAAGAGGGTGACGGAGGCGCTGAAGAAGGCCTCCGAGAGCGACGTCCCACGTTTTACCTCTGGGTCATTTATCATAGGAACAGTACTGTTAGTGTTTATTGTTTGTTGTACTTGTGTGTATTTATGTTGTAAAATCCGTCGTCGCTTTAGAGAGGACGACCACAACCCAGGCTAGGCTGAGTTGACCCTAGGGGAATTAGAGTCACTAGCCACAGCAGAACCAGAGTCACCAACCGATGCAGAATCGGAGTCACCAGCCGAAGCGGAGCCGGAATCACCAGGCACAGCGGAAACGGAGTCACCAGCTGCAACAGAACCAGAGTCACCAGCCGCAGCAGAACCAGAGTCACCAACCGATGCAGAACCAGAATCACCAACCGATGCAGAACCGGAGTCACCAGCCGAAGCGGAGCCGCAGTCACCAGCCGTAGCGGAACTGTAGTCACCAGCCGAAGCGGAACCAGGGTCACAAGCCGCAGCGGAACCAGAGTCACCAAACGCAGCGGGAGCCGGGTCACCAGCTGCGGCAGACCAGGTCTCCACCAGCCGGCCAGACCGAAATCACCAGCCCGCAGCGGAACTGGAATCACCAACACAGTGGAACCGGAATCACCAGCCGTAGCGAAACAGCAATCCCAGCCAAAATCAAATCACGAGGGCGTTAAAATACCCAAAAATTTCACGCGGCACGTTCATTGGTCACAGGGCGCCCATAATGATAAACAAATGGTAAAAATACGGGTGTTGAAACTCAACACCTATAAAAATAATATCAGTATCACCAGTACAGACATATAGCGGGTAGAGGAGGCCAAACGCTACATTGAAGACTTAATCCTCCAATGGTCACTCGCTTACTCCCTAGCCACAGCGGAACCGGAGTCACCAGCCGCAGCGGAACCTGGGTCACCAGCCACAGCGGAACGGGAATCACCAGCCGTCGCGAAACAGCAGTCCAGCCAAAATCAAATTACGAAGAGCGTTAAAATATCCAAAAAATTTCACGGAGCATTCATAGGTCACAAGGGCGCCCATATTAAACAAATAGGCCAAAAATACGGAGTGTTGCTGGGACTCAACACCAATAAAAACCATGTCAGTATCACCAGTACAGACATATAGCGGGTAGAGGAGGCCAAACGCTACATTGAAGATTTAATCCTCCAATGGTTATTCGGTAACCCCCCGATGTGATAGAATGGTTAATATTTTTCTCTTTTATATATAAATATAGATATATATGTAGTATTTCGTTCTATCTATTTATCTATCTACATCACCCCCACACACACATGTAACCAGTATAGTTACATACTGTTTTGTGTGAAATGCAGTAATTAATAACTTGCCTTTATGGATACTGTAATTATGAACATTAATTATTCAATGGCCAGCCTGAAAGGGGTAAAAGGTTGCTCGGGGGACTAAAACATCCTGCAGATGTTTAGTCTTATCCAGTTGCCGAAGTATGATGCAACTCTCTCTCCAGGTAGTAGGTAATTCTTGAAATACTTAATAGATTGCTCATATGTGGTAATTGGATACTTTGCTTCACACTTGCAATGGTTCAAGTATGTTAGATAGTTAGATAAGTAATATGTAGATAATGGCACCGCCAGTTAGGACTGATTCATGGGTCATTGGAATCATTTACCAGCCGGCTATTTATGCACGTAATGTAAAAACCGCTCAATGTTGTTCGACTTGACATATGTTTAATTACATCACCAGTAACATAAGTTTACTACAACACCAGTACCATATGTTTACTACAACACCAGTACCATATGTTTACTACAACACCAGAACCATATCTTTACTACAACACGAGTACCATATATTTACTACAACATAAGTAACATATGTTCACTACAACACAAGTGCCATATGTTCACTACAACACCAGTACCATATGTTCACTACAACACCAGTACCATATGTTTACTACAATACCAGTACCATATGTTTACTACAACACCAGAACCATATCTTTACTACAACACAGGCACCATATATTTGCACAACATAAGTACCATATATTTCACTACACTTCAGTGCCATATATTTCACTACAACTTCAGTACCATATGTTCCTCACAACGCAGTACCATATGTTTACTACAACACCAGTACCATATGTTCACACTACAACACAACTGCCATATATTTCACTACATCACCAGTACCATATGTTTACTACAACACCAGTACCATATGTTTTACTGCAACACCAGTACCTATGTTTACTACAACACACCAGTACCATATGTTTTATTACAACACCAGTACCATATGTTTTTAACACCAGAGAGTACCATCTCAGTCCTTTCTAACACAAGGTGCCATATGTTCGCACTACCATCACCAGTACCATATGTTTTTCTAGCACCAATTGCCATATGTTTTGCTGCAACACCAGTACATATGTTCACTTTCTACTTCCTGAAGTGCCATATGTTCACTTTCTAACTTACCAGTACCATATGTTCACTACAACACCAGTACCAT